AGCTAGAAAAGGGCACAGTGCAAAGATGAACATCTTGAAAAGTTGCATAAGCCTTTGGATGAGGGAATATATGATGCTTTTGACTCATACTTATTTAGATGCTCACCAGCACAGATGCCCAAAGGGATAAAGAACTTTAAATCTTTGGAGATGCTCAAAGCAGGTTGTCATGGTTTGAGATAGCCCCAAAATCCAATTCCCTAGCTCCATTCCCCCTCCCACATCTCAACCTAATGTGAGATGGGTTTTTCCAGACAAAACACACCAGACTCAAAGTGGGGAAAAGGGAATATATTACAATGACTGTACAAATAAATACCATATCACATTATACACACGATCACAACTATCTCTACCATGACTTATAGTATTTACAATGGATCAGATCTCTTCTCCCCTCCAAATAAAAGTCCAGGAGGGAAAGAAGGACAGATCCCTTCCAGTCCTTAAGCAGTAGCATCTTCTAAGGCAGCAGGTTTCTTCTTCTCATGCATGCAGCAGCTGATAGCTGGATTTCTGCCAGCATCCACAAGGGAGGTATCCAAGCCTCTCTCTTGGCCCCATCGCCTCACAACCGAGGGGTCTTCCGTGGACTTCGTAACCCCAGACAAGGTCGTTTCACCACGTCATATCACGAAGACACAGGGGGGTCTTCGTGACGGTCTGGTATCTCTTGCAGGGCCTCTGTGCCCTGTCTCTCAGGCTGCCACCGTGGCAGCAGTGCGAGGGGGGAGAGCCAAGGTCAACTCCCCCCGCATTCCATCTGGCCGTCCCGGTCCAGCTCTGGGACGCTCTGAGCTTCTCAGCTCCTCTCTCTCTCTGGTGCTGCATGTCTAAAACTGCTCTCCAAAATAGGAGTCCATGTCCCTCTTCTCCAAGAGGGGTCTCAAGGGAGTTTTGGGGGCTGATATCAGTCTTACCCCCAAGAACTCTGTAGCTCTCAGCTGCTGGCTCTCCTTTCCTCGGCTCTCCTTCCAGGAGTCTCCTCTGCAGTGCTGCATGTTGCTTCTGTTGCTTCTTCAGTTCAGGTTCTTATCTCTGGCTCTCTGCCACCGTTTCTCTGGTCAGTGTCGGCTGCTGCTCTGTGCCCATGGAGAAAACATCTCCTGGCATAACTACAGGCACCTAGCCCAGCTTTATGCTGTTCCAGGTCCCTGCAGCCCCCCAGCCAGAGGCTGGGAGGGCCCAGAGGGCCCAAGGGGCTCAGAGCCCCTTCCTCGTGGCTCTACAACATGGCCACCTCTCCTACAACCAAAAACTACAACTCTTCTTTTCCGGTCTGGTTGTGGTATGTTTACATTTCTGCAGGAGCGCCCATTGGGCAGAACTTCAAAACTTCCAGGGGTTTCCACCCCTTGGGGTCTACCACTTCTCTTAGCCCCTGGGGAAAACAAGGTCCAAACCACTACACAGGTATAAGCATCCCCTCCTTGAGGGAACAGCTTTGCAGTGCCCTGTAGCCACATACACAGGAAAGGAAAAGCCTCTGTGAAGCCACCAAGGAGGCAAGAGAAGTAACTGCCTATTACAACTGCAAGGAACATTTAAAGAATGCAAACAGTCTTTATTTTTTATTAATAAATAAAAAAAACCCCGCCACATACCACCTTCCTATTTCAACTCAACATGTGGGCTGGGAGCTCCTGGTGGCTTTCAGACCAACACCACAATTGCTGAACACAACTGCTGTTAATAATGCCAAATGCAGAGACTACTGAGACAACACTGCTCTTTAAAGGACGCTCTCCTTTTTCACTCAGACACAGAAAAGAAGCCAATGGGGAGCATGAAACGTCACCATCACTTCTGAGAGCCCCATTCAAGTCATTTGCTTTCATACATTTTGTTGCTTTCCATCTCCCAGCTTTGAGCTCTTTTTGTTGTTTCTAATAGATAACAACAGCTTCAAAGTTTGGAGGAACCGTTCCTCTCCTGTTGTCCTTTTTCCTTTTATTCCTTTAGCAAATGTTGATTTTTTTCTTTTTTTTGCAAGTTAAAAGGAGCTGCTTTAACAAAGCATGTCCAGGATTCGAGGAAGAGCCAGATGTCTTGCTCTCTGGCATCCTGAGCTCGTGGAGAGATGGAAGGACCCTTTCCTAACCAGCAAATGCAGTTGCACCCTTTTCCCCTCCATTTACCCAGTCTTGTGGGCTTGGCAGAGGAAGTCCTACTCTCCTGAGTAAGATCTGTGCACTAGAACTCCTGTTCCTTTATTTTAAGGGAGGGCATATGCTTGGTAGCAGCTGGATTAAAAGCAATGAAGAAATCTCCTACTTGTAACTTAGAAGGCAGCATTTCTGGGTTTATTTTGCAGCGTCTGTGAGTGCTTGGTGGTTACACCTGTCACACAACCAGTTCACACGGCGTCGACTCCAGCGCGGCGCTGACACAGAGCTACAGGCAGCTGATGAAGTGTCTTCATCATAGTTTGCTGAGTGCCTTGTCTATATTTTCATGATTTATTACTTCCCTGACTTCCTTAGGTGTTGGGAGGAACAATGAATCAATCCAAGTGTTTTCAGAGCAGGCACTGCTAATTGCACGAGCTCTGTTTACAGCTCGAGAGCTCCAGTTTTGACAAGTCTCTTGACCGCACGTTAATACGTGTGATTAATTGTTGTTAAGGGCATCTGCAGAAACGAACCTGGTAGGTAACACTTCAGAGCTATGATTGCTTTCTGAACAAGCAATAAACATAATTATTGTACACACTGTGTTACAACAAGAACAGGTGGGGAAAGAAAGTGCTCTGGAAGGTGTGGGGGTAAAGCGCCGCTCCCCAGAGGGGGGTGTCCAGAGGACACAGGGGGAGATGATGGGGAGGCAGATTTGAAGTTCCTTCTCTGGGCTACTTGGTGACTTCAGGGGCTTTTCCTTTCCTGTGTGTGTGCCACTACAGAGGATTGCAAGCAAGGGTAGAGGTGCTGCATCACCTCGCATGGGAATGAGGGGTGGAAACCCCAAAGCATCACAGGGTGCCAAATGTTTTCTCCATTTCCCAAACTGATGGAACAGACTCCAGTGCTGGGGGACCCTGCTGGGCACTTTTATCTGGAGGCTTGGCCTGTTCTGCCATGCTTCACCTTGCTGCCCTGCTCTGCCTTTGCTCTGTCTGGTGCTGGCATTTGTTCCCCCTGGAACAGGGCTCTTCCTGCCCCGTGGAGGCAACCTACCCCATATGCAGGTGCTTCCTCACCCAGAGAGGCTCAGGGTGATGCCATGAGTTGTCCCCAGGCTCACCCCAAGCAGGAGGACCTGCCTCCTTGTTCTGTTTCTTCTGCAGGTCTTTGGAGCTGGTGCTGCTGGGGAAGGTGTTGGGGTTTATCTGTAGGCTCAAAAGCAAGACCAGGATGGGTTAAGTCCCCCTGGGGAGACCACAGAGGTATCCAGAGTGGGGATGTCCAGGGGGCCCCACCATGAGTCCCATGAAGTGTGAGGGACCAGCAGGACTGACCATGGGAAGCAGAGGAGCTGGTGACAAAGGGAAGGTGATCAGTAGCTGACACACATGAAGCAGCTCTATGTTCATTTTGAAATATCAGGAAACAGATACAACCAGAATGACTGCACTATGCAACTGCCTTACAAAACAGGAGAAGAAACAAACACAGGTTTAATTGCCCACTGCACTGAAACTGCTTTATCCTGCATAACCTCATTATTTCTAGAAAATTTGGCCCAGGCCATATGGTGGGAGGTGAGGTGGGAAATTTCCCACTGCAGCAGCAGCCTGCCAGGTGGGGTTATTATACCCCACAGGTGAGAGTACCTCTGCACAAAGCTCTCCCCAGAACCCTGGAGGTGAGGTGCAGCCCCGAGCCTGTCCCCCACAGGGCCCTCACAGCCAGGCTCTAAGTGCAGTGGGGAAGGGGCAGTTGGGGCTGCACTGCTGGGAGGGTTCTTCAGTGTCACCTTCGACTCTCCCCAGCCTTTCCTGGGTGCTGGGCAGCTCAGCTGCTTGGGCAGAGCAGTTTCCTTCCCCTGATTTTGAAATTAAAAGCCACCATAAGCCGTTGCAGCATGTTTATAGCATCCAGCATTTTCCCATCTGGCCCTCCTCAAGCTGCTCATCCCATTCAGAACACAGAAAGAACGACAAGGAAAATGTAGTGGGAGTACACGAAATGGCAAACCTGCCTGGGGCCCTGAATGGGAGCAAACAGCACGAGGGCACGTTGTGCACAGGTCCAGGGACGTGTAGTGAGGTTAATTGCTCTGCCCAGTTTTAGTCCATCCTGCTCCAGAGAGGGAATTCACTTTCCTGGGCGTGGGGAAACAAAGCAGGCCGGTTTGTGGGAAAGAAAAGCCTGTTCCTTTAATCTGCCTGAAAGCTTTTGGTACATCAAAGTCCTGGCGAGAAGAGATGTCGCTGATATAATTGGTGTGGGCAATTGCAGAGGTTTTGATAAAGACCTCTGTGAAAGAGTTATTCATGGGAGGCAAAGAAGGGTCATGGGTTGGGCAGGAGCTAAGAAACCAAAACCCCCCCAGCAGGATGAGGGCTGAGGAAATGTCACACAGCTCTGTATCCCACCCAGTGCCCTCCAACAGCAAAGCCTGTCCGGTGCTGATGAGGAATTGCCAGGGGCACCATCAAAGCCAGGGGAACAGGCCAGAGTGGGGGAGGATCATCCCCCCTCATGGACACAGCCTGGGTAAGGCTCCTTGGGAGGAAGGGGATGATGGCTGTGAAAACCAGGTAAGTCCAGGTCAGCTGCCACTTCTCGAAGAGAAAACCCAGCTCAGGCCACGGGCAGCTCACCACAGTGCTTCACTGCAGGCTGCAAATATATATGATCCCAAAAACTCCTAAAGAAATGAAGATACTAGAGAAAGATCAGGGGAGAAAGTAGCAGGGAACTGTCCAAATGCTCGGACAGGAAGAAAGAGGAGGTCCTCTTCTGGCATTGCTGCCTCTCACCAGCTTCCAAATGACTCATCAAAAAGAGACAAGGGGAAAGTTTCTGAGATGGGAAAGTAAGAGAGTTAGAAATAGAGTCTAGCTAGAATTGAAATGATTTTAATTTCTAGGTGAAGTGAGTAAAAAGTAACATAATGGCAGAATACAAAATAACAAACAGCACAAAGAAGGTACATATAAGTACTCCTATTTTCACTTTTCACATAAAAAGAGAACAAAGGGACAGTCAATAAAGCTGAGCAGCAGCACATGTACGAGGATAAGCAAAATGCTGTTGTTCTAATGCACTGTGCATAATCATCCAGGGAGCTCCCTGTTCCAGCACAGCACTAAAATCACAGATGCAGAGAGACTTGCAAGAAAGGGACAGGAATGTACCTGAAAGGAAAGACCATTTGCAGTTAAACTCCCTGTATGTGAGTTACATGAGCAGTAAGCAATAATATGGGTTTTAAGAGAGAAATTACATACAAACAGCAATAAATGGGAGGGGGGCAGAGATCCCCGATGGCAGATTACTCCAAAAATTTCCTTCCAAGGGATGTCTTGTTCCTCCTTCCTCTGAAGCTTTTATGCTGACTATTGGCAGCAACTGGTGTTTGGAGAAGACAAACTGCTTCTCATCTCCTGTGTCTCCCTCCTGCAGCAAGGCCAGAGCACCTTCCCATCTGCCCTGTGTCCATGTGTCACTCTGAGGGGGGTCTTTTCACCCTTCCTCCCTGCAGCCACCTCCCCAGTGAAGGAGCTGGGCCAGCATGCTGCTCCCACCAGTCCCATTCTCTGCAGTGACCTCACCGAAGGCTCTGCCTTCAGGGGCTACCAGAGAGCACCATGTGAAAGCCTAAAGCTGGTTCCCCAGGCTGGGGTGCAGCTGCCCTGGGTGGGGGCTGCCTGGGGACAGGCAGCTGCCTGGGTGGGTGCTGAATCCCAGCCTGCTCCTTCCTTCTAGCCAAGGAACATTTCACATCCTTGGCCATATGTGACTGAGGGAGGTATAAATAATCCTGTCTTCTCTTTTTTTTTTTCCCATTGACGTGCAGTGATATCTCCCCTATTCATTGCTGAAAGGAACCAAAATTAATCTCAGGAACAATTCTGCCTGGTGATGGGAATGCACTCATTGCTGACACACATCAGCACCTTCCTTTGGGTGCTCCATGATCCTTGAGAGTCCCTTCCAACCCGGCATGTTCTGTGATTCTGGACAGATCCCAGTGAAGGTCAGCAACAGGGAGGAGGGACAGGAAATTACTTGGGAGAGCACCCCAGAATTTAGACAGAGCTGACAACTGCCAAACCGAGTTTGTGGAAACCTTCCTCTTCGTGGACTCCCTCACCTGAGGTAGATCAGAAGCCCAGGTCTTTCTGTGCCCACAAAGTTAAAATAAAACCAGACACTTTGCCCTGATCTCCCTCTCCATGAGGTTTTGTCCTTACACTCAGAGTATGAACCATCCTTCTTCCCCCAGCTGCCATCCATGCCCAAAGGATGGCATCCCATTTCCCAGCCTCTGCACAGCTCCTCTGCAGCACTCCCTCATGGCATCCCAGGCACATGTGCCACGGTCTCCCACCAAAACACAGCAGTTACAGGCAGTGGTTGCTGCTTTCCCCTCCCTCTGTAACCCCAAACTCCACCTTGCTCCCCTCTGCAGGAGGTGTGGTAGGAGGGAACTGGTGCACAGAGCAGGGCACCCTCTGCCCATCGTCCCCAGCCCCTCTGCCAGCTGATCCCCCTCTGCCAAAACCATCAATACCTCAATACCACCATTGTCCTTTAATATCTCACAGCCTTTAATATCCCCACCCCTGGAGAACATGGCAGTCTTTCTGACACGGAGCTGGATATTAAGAGACCTTGTTTTTTGTTGTGTGGTCTTGTTTTGGTTTGGTTTTTTTTTTTAAGACTTTATTTGTCTAACATGCTTGACCAAAAATTACAACAACATTCAAGTTATGCCAAAATGATTAAATAATCTTTAAGCTTTCATACCTCAAGTACTTTAAATGATATTTTGAAGTAACAGCTGCTTTCATATCCTTTCCACATAAAAATACACAGTATTTGGAAGATACCTCAGGAAAAAATTATTTTTAAGAGAATAGTTTATGGTCCACATAGAAATGTTGCTGAGGCCAATAAAAGGACCTCTTCCCCCCACTTTAACATTTTAGTCTCTTAAGTGCCATGAGCGAATGTAAACATTTCAGACTTTAACATACAGCCAATTTCCTGCCACATTTGTTGCAAACTGCTTGAATTGTGACTAGCTAAGACACTTTTATTCTAACTACAGTGCTATTGTTCATCTTCCCAGTGACGGCAGGAGTTCATATTCAACTATGAATTTCAGTTCTTGCTGATTTAGGAGTTGATCTGCAATTTCTACACCAGTAGCTCTGACAAAAGTGGCCCCCTCTGAATTCACAGCAGGCTTCTCATGGGAACCACTCACCCAAAAACCACTCGCAGGCGTGTGACAAGGCGTCAAAGACTGTTTTGGGTTTCGTTTTCAGGAAAAAGCAGCACATCAGTTTAGACACAAGGTCACCCAACAGGTCACAAAGAATGACAGACCTGTGACTTGTCATGTTTTCTGGGGGTCTGGTGGCTTCTTGTGGGTCCAAGGTAGTGACTGGGCTGGAATATCTCAGCTCCCAGCAGCTGATGGAAGAGCTGCTGCCCATGGGGAACCAGCAAAAAGCAGTGTTTCTGCCCACCTGGCTCAGAGGTGCAGCTGACACAGCCTGGTTTTGCCACACAGGTATTTTAAATTGTGCATGTGTGTCAAGTACATGCAGCTGCCACGTGAAGCTCACATTTACATCCACATATTGGGTAAAAAGTCACACACACAATTATCCAGTGCATGAGTGCAGAGGTGGGCCAGGCACAGACCTGCAGACAGCTCTGAACTGGCACTGCTGGGCTCTGCCCAACCTGTGTGAACAAGATTAACATCTAGATGCCATCAGCCCCAAACTGAGGATGTCCACGTTCAGAATACAGAAGCTGAACAACCTCCATCAAGGCAAAAGGAGATGTTGGTTAGTCCAAGGCAGAAATCCATGTCTTTCTTTTGGTGGGTTTCCAATCAATTCTTAAGCTTCTGCCTAGGACAGGAGTGAAATCCCAGCAGCCTCAACACCCCTGCTGGCCTGCAGGAGAGCTGCATGGGCAGTGCCACTGTGGGCCACCCCAACCAGCTCGTGGCACATCCCCTGCTCTGCCTGGTGGCACCTACAGCACCACGAGTGGCTTTCAGGTTGTCCTGGGCCTCTCTCAGCAGTGTCCACGAGTGGGCAAACAGCAACCCCAGGGGAGGTGCCCTCTGCTCTGTGCCCATCAGTGTGTACTCGTTACAGCTCTCCAGAAGTGAATCCCCAAACCCCACCCTGGGATGGCGCCTTCCCCCAGAACATCCACGATGTTCCCCAGGGACAAAATGATCACAACGACATTTAACCCCTCCTGATCAGGGCCAGACTCAAACCAGTCATCTCAGCTTTGGCTGCACACCCCATTAGCAGGTTTTAAACCCACGGTCCCAGTGGGTTTTATTTAAAACACCATTACTGATCGTTGGGTGGGCTTTTTGTGTTTTTTCTCTTTTTTTGTTTTCTTTTTTTTTAAATACAGTCACGTATCTCTTTACCATATGAAAACACAGTTATATATTTTTCTTCTTTGTTTTTTTTTCCTTTTTTTTTTTTTTTTTTTTTTTTTTTTAGGGAAATGTCATCCTTTTTTTTTTACAGGTTACAAATTCCTGAGTTTATACTGCACTTAACACAGTCTCCCTTCTTGAATGTTGAGCTGTTTACAGCATGCTGGCAATATGCACCATTTCCCTTACCATCTGTAATGCCAGATGTAGTAAAACTTCCATTTCAGTACAGTGAATTAGGGCCTCTATTGCATTGGTTTTGAATAGATGCAAAGACTTAGACCTGGAGGACTTGGAGTAATAGCTTTCCTCCAGTGACTGGTCATTTGTGCAGCATCTTTTATATTTGCCATGTTAATTAAGGGAAAACATCTTCACCATAATTTTTCTTTTACTAAGAGCTCACTGGGAAACATCTGAAATGAGGGAATCCTAGTCTAAACACTGAAGTTTAAACTGCAAACTTTCTTAAAGAAACACTCCTTTGAAAGACATTGTTCTTTTAATAAGTCCAATACACGGTATATACAAAAGCCCCTACTAGATATATATATATGTGTATGTATATATATATATATTTATATGTGGAATGCATTCACTTTTTTGTGTTCACAAATATTTTAATGGTGAAATGTTAAGTCTTTAATCTGTTTCTGGCACCAAAATGTCTTTGTTCCTCATCCACTTTTGTTACTCGAAATTTATCTGCGAAGAGCTAGCAGGGAAAAAAAGAAGGATTTTGCTTTTTTTTTGTTTGTTTTTGTTGAATGGTTCCCTATTGGGATTCTCAGCCAGCAATATAAAGTTGCTAATGTGTTGGGTACAACTTTAAATCCTCCTTATAATCATGTGTTCCTTGGAGTAGGTAAGTCAATAACTATAGGTGGGTTAAGTGGCTGGTAATTCACAGTGCACACAGATGCATTCACATAGGTAGTGGTTCCATCAGCCATGACACCATAACCTACAAAGTAAGAAAAACTCTGGTTACTCTCATTATTCATTATTATCTTCTTCATTTTTCAACTATTCACCTTTACCACACAATGGTAAGTGCCACATTTATCACTCAGAAGGAATTTAAAAATTCTCTTGGTCCCTTGGAAAAACCCATCTTTGTCCTACAGAACTTTTTGCCATCTTTTAAATTGTGTAAGAAAAACAAAACAGCCCCTCACTAACTAGTGGCAATAATCTCTGGCAGCCAGCTCACCAAACCTCCTTAGGAAGAGAGAGACTTTTCTCTGCAAAGCTTTCTTTCTTAAGACTATTTTAGTTCTGGGAAGAATGAGAAGATGGATCTTAGGCATTTGAAAAAAAACGTCCTTCTGCTCATTTAGGTTTCCAGTCATCAGTGCAGCAACCTTTGGGCAATTTCTGCCCAGTGTTGAACATAATTCAAGCAAACAATGAAGAAAAAGCATTGCTTGGCTCAAGGGAAGTGTGTGAGCATGTGCAGCTGGGCAGGATTTGTCTATAGCAGCAACTCCTTCTTCCTGTGTGTTTGAAGTTGTTAACCAATTTCCATCAAATTTGATGGAAAGAGTACCTTTTTTCCATCAAATCTGATGGAAAGACACTAAAATTCCTGCCCAGGGAGAGAAAAAAAATGGCTTTATTAATGCATTCTCTATCAGACAAGGTGAATTCATAATCCAAGACATTTCCACACAACTGTGTGTCTCACCAGTGGTGGAAAAGCTTCAACCACATCTCATGTCTGGCCAGACACCCAAGTCAAACAATTCCAGAGCTAAATATGCAGAAAATCAAACTTCCAGCCATAATGCCTGCAGAAATACTGTGAAATGCTGTTTTGGAAAGTGAAGAAGAAGCCCTTCAACAGCCCTGGTGTTTTGAGAAAATAAAAGCTCTCCATTGTAAAAAATCTTTTAATGAATGACCAGGAAGAAACTTAAGCTTGATTACACTAAAACTAAAAGCTGGACGTTGGAAACTTCCATTGAAATATTTTGATCAATATGAAAAATTCACAATCAGAAATATAGGATTTGGGAGGAATCACTTGATAGAAAGTGTTTGCATTAAAATTCAATCTCATTGTTAGTGAAGTTCCTAGGGAAATGTATTTGTTGTTACATACACTGAGACCCAGCTATTCAAATCCCAGGTACCTGGGACCCTGTGGTTTTTTCTGAGTGCAATTTTGTGTCTTACAGAACCACTGGCAGTTGCATCATTTGCAAACAAAGAAACAATAGCCAAAAGCCTTTTTTTTGTGTGTGTGTGTTCCTTAAAATACCCTGAATAATGCAGGGCCTCCTAGACTCTCCATGGAAAAACCACACTATAATTAGGGACTAGGGAGGGAAGAAAACTCTGTCAGGTTCCTGTCACAGACATTTCTTTAAGCCAGTTTCTGTTTGCCACAGAAGAATTGGTCTGTGCAAAACACAGATTGAGAGTTGCTGCTGGGACTCCGTGTCTTCTTGGCTACTCATTTGAAGATTTGCTGGAAGATTCCTAATGCTGTGGCTTTCACTCCTGTCCTACTGCCAGCAGAGTTTCCTTGGCCATGACCTCAGCCAAGGATTGGCTGTGATGGGAAAACCAGGATTTTAGTCCCCGCCATGCTGCTTATCACTTCCATGGGTGCATCAGCAGGAAACCCATGTGCAGAGGTATTTTCTTGGCAGACACGGCAGTGCAGAGAGGGGAATAGAGAAGAAACATCTCTTCTAAGCATCCCTTCCCCCCAGATGTTCAGTAAATGACTGCTGCAGATGTAGCTTTGCTCACTCAGAGGAAGAACTCATCTGTTCAAATCATGAATTCTCTCTACAAAGTACAGCTTCGTTTGCACAGGCTGCCTGCAAAGGGAATTCTCCTCTGCAGAGACTCAGCATCCCACTGCAAAACAGGCTATGCAGTTCTTGTTTTCTCTAAATTGTGATGGTTAACAAGAAGAATACCTTGTTTCTGTGCTTCAATACCTACTGTGCCAACTACATTATTTCACGAGTTTTCCCATTCTAGGGAGGTGCCATTCTCTTCCCCTGAGAGCAAAGTTGGGCTTGGTTTTAGCAGATGTGATTTTGTTTACCTGCCTGAAGCTTCATGGCTTGCTGTTTGCTTGGATCCCCTGCAACCCACTTGGCTCACAATTTCTGAAATAGTGATGAGTTTGAACTGTATTCACCAGCTCTTCTGGTTGGAATATCAAAGATGCTCTAACAGCATCATTTGTTTACTCTGTGATTTAACAGCACTTAGGACATTAACCAGGCATTAACAGAACACCACAGAGGAGAATGGACCTAATCCCTAAGCTGTAAAACAATGATCTGAACATCTTCTCCATCAATTTTACACCAGCACACCCTCTCAGCAATGGCCCCTCTAACGTGGGGTGAAAGCCCCCAGCAGCAAGCCAGGATGGCATTTCTTGGGAAGGGCAACGTTTCTTCTCAAAACCAGGATGCCAGTTACTCCAGTTTTTCCATTTCTGCCCTGGTGAGACCTACAGAGATCCTACATCCAAGGCTGGAGCAGGCCCAGGAGCAGAAATCTGGCAGTAGGGCAGTACCTTCTCCTGCCAGTAAGTTAATATTGCCAAGGCCTGAGCAGCTGATAATAAACACTTACATGCCAACGGGTTACCTTTTGCACAGCCCAGTGGTTTCTTCTGGGGGCACTGCTTGAAATCCTTGATATGTGAACAGGGCAGACAGCATCTACCTCTCCCTTTGCCTGGAGATGCACTCCTGCTGTCACCAACTTCAGCAGAGCATTTTTGGCACCATTTACCTACTTATGTGAAGGGAACTCATTTTTTTCCAGCTAAATATCAAACAGTCAAGAGAACTGCTTTGTTTCATTTGGGCACCAAATGTTTCCCCTGCCAAAGCAGCTAAATGCATCAATAAATATCTTGGAACTCCTACACAAGGCAGTGGTGACATCCCTCTTGATTCCAACTTCATATATGCACTTTATTGTACAATCTTGAAGCTTAAGCCTTACAAGCACCTCTCAAAGCATTCCTACCCATTTTAGAAACACAGAAACTGCAACCTAGAGAGCTTACATGAATTATCTTAAATCACAGATTCAGCTGAGGAAAATGCAATCCATCAGTCCTAATATTTAGTAACTACTGGGCTTGTGTTCTTATTTTAAAATTCACAGTAATCCTCCCCATGAAGGAAGCATCACCCTGCTTCAGAGATGTACAAACTGAAAGAGAAGCTGAAGTACAAATATTGAAATGCGGGTATCAGCCAATATGCAGTTAAATATGTATCCCAATTCTAGAAGTTCAGACATTCGAGTTTGAAAATGCTACTTAAACCTTCTGTGTTGGTGGTTTCTAAACACACATAGAAAGAAATGTGTCCTGACCTTCATGGATATGTCCAAAAACATGAAGCCTTGGCTGTATTCGTCTCTGGACCGTGTTCAGCAGCTCGACACATCCTACCCGTTGCATTTTCTTAGGAACCCAGTCTAGAAAACCTTTGGAAGAGAAAGGAAAGCTTTAAAAGGAGACAGGTAATCTGCAGTTGTGCTGGTCCACAGCATTTCTGAGATTTCATGGCTTTTCACAAGCAGCCCCAGAAGAACCGACGTGGAAAAAACTGTGTTGGTAAACAGAAGAGGAAGGAAGGAAAAATACCCAAGGAAAACCATAAAAGCTCATCTGGATAAAATGAACTATGATAATCCTTACAAGTTGTTTTTCAAGGAATTAAAAAAAAAAATCACTGCAATTCAAGCATTTTTTGCACTGCTGCAAACAGGAAAACTCAATGTTTTACTCATTTTTCTTCCTCGAAGAGGGTGAGGTGTAAAGAGCAGTGAGTCCAAAGTGAGTCTCCAGACAACCTAAATGAACATTTAGCTGTTTAAATCTAGTCCTGGGATCCGCTTTTTTGAAATGGAACACTTTGACTGATGTAATGGAATCTGTGTTAATTAAAAATGGAATCTGTGTTAATAAAACTACATCACATTGAATCCCAGAGTAGTGGAACTCAGGTGAGGAACCTTCTGTGTGCCCAAAAAATAACACCCTCAGGCAAAACTGGTTTAACCAATTCATGGCACAGCAAGCCCCACTTGCCTAAACTTATGGACAGGAAGAGAAACTCAGGCCTTTTGCAGCAGATGTATTTAAGTGCTGTATTTACTTGCACAAAGATTGGGTGAAAAATGTGTGTTTCGTATGAATACAGACAGAAATGTTACACCAACTTGCCTCTTTGTCTAAAAATACTGCAGGGAGATGTTTACTGCCAACTGAAGTCTCATGTTTTCCTTCAAAGTAGTACTACAAGAGGGATGTTCTTGTATTAGAGGGTTTGCAATAACCAATCTGATTTCTTTCTATTGTTCTGCCACTGTCACCGGGCTCAAATTTGGAAACCTAAAAAGATAAAATCTTCCTGGTTTTATTCTGTCGTTCTGGCATTTTCCCTGTGTGCCTGTCATAGCTTTGTGTCTCCTGCATTGCTGCAGTCCTGTGAATATATTGTGCCTTTAGCCCAGAGTTACAGAGCCTGGACCTGGTTTTCACAGGTTTCCTTTTGATGTCCACTCAAGCATGGCTAAGCAGCAACCAACTGGCTTAAAAGCCCAGAACTGTGGTATTCAAGCTCCTGGAAAAGCTCTCACATTTGCTAGAGCTTCAGGGTGGGTTCACACGTTGAGAAATATCTCTTTGGCTGCCAGTCCTTAAAAACCGGGCTCAAAGTGCACTGTGGGGTTTTATGAAAACGGCCAGAATTTGCCTTTCTGTCATAGTTAGACAGCTAAGTCCAGTTTTCAGAAAGAAGTTGGGAATGCAGAGTCCTAAGTGCCAAAAAGAGGAAGTTCTGCTTGTGGTCAAAAGACTCCTAATTCATTCAGATTGGTACCTTCCCCTGCTTGGCACCTGTGAGGGGGAGGACAAAGAGGAAGCCCCCCTGAATTACAGGCAGAGCAGAGCAACGTTCTGCTGAGTTCATCAGTCACTCACAGCAGGTCAAAATTCACTGCAGGAAACAACAAGTATTTAAGATGCTAAAGTGCAGCCAGCAACTCCTCTGGAATCCAGTAATTTTTTTTTTTCCAGAATAAACATCTTATAACCGTAGGTTTTGTTCCTTCAGTGATTTGAAACAGTTAATTGTCAAAACGTCTGTGGAGAACACAAAGCCAAAAGTGTTTCCACTTCAAAAACTTCACAAACAAAAATCCATAAAATTAACTTCTCCATTAAATTAAGCATTATTTATGTTGAACATGTTTTTGTTTACATGCATTATCACCCTTCTGAAGCCTTCCCATATGTTTGCAGCTTATTATGTACACCTGACTACACAAACTAAGAATAATTGATTACACCTAGCTAACAATTAGAGTTCATCTTAGGGTTTTTTTAATGTTTGGTTACTTGAAACAGGTTTCTGCAGCTGTCAGGAAAGTATAAATCTTTGTCACAGACAATCGAGCAGACAGCTGCAAATGAAGACTTAAAGGTGAAATTAAATTAAAAACAAAGAAAAGAAAAGTGAACTTTTGGAAGAGAAAGAAAAGAAACATAAATGCGGATCTTTAGGAACCAGGGAAAATACTTTAAAAGTTATACTATACATAAAAGTGACAAAAATATGCAGATATGGAAATGAGCATTAGCACTGACACCATAAACACTGTATTTTGTAAGCTGTGAAATATATGGTATCTCTTTATTAATAATTAACGAGTTACTAATTAAATGGTCAATAATAGCTGTTTTAACCTTTGTTTTCTTATCCTGGGGGTTTCATCCCAAAACAGAAGAAAAAAAATTACTCAGGTTTTTGTTACTAACTGAGAAACAAAGTCCATTAACTGGTGCTTTTGCATCTAAATCACACAATTTCAAATCTGTGGAATAATGTATTAATTAGTTTAGGAGGATGCACACTCTTGAAGTGAGGGAATGAGAAAGCAGCACAGAAAATGGATGATGGACAGAATTTAGGCAGCCCTGCTGGAGGAAAAACCAGAATTTGCAAGAGGACTGATTGCTATTTATGATCATTAGGAACAGCTCTAGTGATGCTGCCCAAGATCAGAACAACAATAATCAGCCTTCTGGTTAAAATAATTGGCTGGGAGGGTCAAGGAGGATCCTGTTTCCCAAAATGTCTGTGGACAGAGCTGGACAGAGCTACACAATGAGGAGGTTCCCTACATTAGGCAGAGTTCTGATTTCTTTTAAGTGTCATATATTTGTTGCCTTGGGTGTCAGGGAGAGCAACAGCTGATGGGTTCTGTGCCTGAGCCATCTATGCCTGAGCCATCTATTAATGCATCAGTAAGAGAGAGACAAAGAAACAGGAACTTCTTTTAAAAAAAGGAGATTCTTGGAGGACGGTAGAAGATTAAAAATTTAAAAAAAAAAAAGAAAAAAACAATACTGAGACATGGAGATGGGAGGAAATTCACATTATTCCATTGCAATCAGTGGAGATGGGCAGCTCTTCCTCAGAATTACTATAATTATTAAATTACTTTTCAATTATTAAATATATCATTAAAGTACTTCTGATGAGTGAGGGAAGAGAATCTCTGTAGAGGTTCTCCTCCCTCTGCTGGTCCCAGAGGCTACTGGAGAGGCCTGGTGGCTAAATTATCAAGGTGGTTGAAGCTGGGTGGTGTGAACCCCTCTCTCCACTTTCCAGCACTGGATTTCAAGTGAATCTTTGGATCAGCTGAAGGCTGGAGATTTTTTTACAGAATTTTACATTTTTTTACAGAATTTAAAAAACAATTCTGGAAGTGCTGAAGAAGCTTCTGACAAACTTTGGAGCTGACACCTCTGGGTCTAAACAGTTAATTTCTGACATCCATGATACAGGTCCATATTAAAATCAGTCCATGGCATGAGACTCCACTTCGGTGAAGTATCAAAACACAACCCCTACTGTGAGAAACTACACTCACAGAGAGGTACTTCCCTCAGGATTAGTGAGCAGGGGAATGCAAACATGTCTTTCTAAAGAAAACAAAACACAAACCCTTAAGATACTTTCTCCTCCAAGCTCTGAAAGGGAAGAAAGGGTGGAAGACAAGAGGGTTTTAGGGTCAGGAAACTGGGGAGACTAAAGGTTTAAAGAAACCAACTGCCTTCATTTCACACAAAGCACTCAGCAGAACACTTAAGTACATGCTCCATGTTCGTGTCCATTTGTTAAATTAGTGAGAGTTAAACACACAGTCACATTAAATATAGACTGCTAGATGTTAAATTCATCAAAAAACAGCCTTAAGCCTTTACTGGACAAGTTCATGTGATTATATTATCTCTGTTACAAAGGTAATTTTACAATTTTCTAGGAATACAAGAAATCTCTTGTGGCTTTTATATCACCTCTACTGATATCTGGAAAACACACATGCAAAACTGTTTCTTTTTGACCTGCTCATGTTGCCAGATTGTACTACAGGTAAACAACTCACCCATGCTGTCCAAAGAACAGGCAGCATTGGGGTTTGTGAGGAGAAGGTTCACCAAGTCAGCATGGGGACGAAAAATAGAGATTCTGGGTACTTGTTAAAGTGATAAAAAATAAGATCCTAATCCTGCATTTCTCTTCAAGTAGGCCCCATGCTTTCAATATAGTAGTTTTACCACTGGCAGATTAGACAGATGCACAGGTAAATGAGCCCCTGCTTATTTATAAAGCTCATTAAGGCTTTATGTGTTTTTATTTTTCAAGCCATTATTTAATTCCCTACCACTGAGCACAGGTATCATAGACAATCATGAGCTGAAGTCCTGGTGCCGCTGAAATCAGTATGAATGTTACTTTTGACTTCTGCCAGTCAGGACTGCACTCTGTTTCTAAGGAGAGCCAACAGTTACTGCACAATCATCCCAAACACACAGCTAAGAGCACTCGTAGTTTCTTACCGAGAGGTGGTCCATGTGTTATAAGAATATCTATTCCATCTGGAATAAGGTTCCATTTCTCTAATAGTGCTTGGCCTCGCGGAAGATTAAAGCCCCAGCCATAAAACCAAGGTTGCCTGCCAAGAGAGGAGGAGAATGTCTTCAGTACTACTTCCATGTACTGGTTATCTAATTAAAACACTGAGATTGACTCTCCACTAGCGTGGAATTTGAAGACACAAACAACATTCATTTTCTTCTTTGTGTGCACAGCAAACCCCTCTTTCCATACCACCAGCATTATTTAGCTTGGATGGCAAATCAGTGCAGTCCTTACCACTTTCAGCAGACAGTAAAATATTCACAGTATTCCTCTGACTACTTACAAGACGTGGATACCAAGACCTCCATGTGTGGATCATCCTGCTGACTCCCACAACATTTAGAACACCTGCCTCAAGACACCTACATGTGAATATGTCTCACACTGGCTCCCATAGCACTTGGCCCTTATCCTGTGACCAGCTGGGCAAGGACAGCCCCTGGCACAGTGACAGATCCCTCTCCAAAGTCAGAGACATCCTCTGTGCTGCTTTGTTTCCCTAATTGGATGCATCCCATCAGAACAAGAATGCTGCTGCTTCTCTCACACATAAATTTCTTCTGTCCTCTGGTGTGTTGACTTGCTTTTAAGTAAGACTTTCCATATTCAGGATTTCTTATCAGACAGGCATTTACATTTTTTAAACCATATTTATGGAGCAGCTCATCGTGGAGCAGCGGGACTGTAACACTGCCAGTCAGAACACAATTTATCCACATCTTGCTATCCCATTGATTAAAAAAACTGTATTTCACACCAATTATATCACAATGTCAAATTATGTCTTGCTGACTAGGCTCCCACTCTAGGTCATAAAATCGAGGGGTTAGTTTTAGGTTGGAGATTTTATAATCTTTTGACAGATATCTTCTGGCCATGCCAATATTTGAAGAACAATGAACAGGCTGCTTTTCTTCCACAGACAAAAAGAGCCTCAACTATTGATGACTGAAAGGCTTTTTGTGTCCACAGCTCATCTAGCTCTTCATCACATGCCCTGGATAACCAAGGTCTGGAGAAAGAGCTGTCCAAGGAAAAAAAAAAAAAGTGAAACCTTGTACATCTGCCACTGGGACCAGAAATATATCCCAGCCTCCAGAAGCTGTGAGGAGGGAGGGAGGTGAAGAAGGTGTGTGAAGAAGAGATGTTAACAGCACTAGCAATGAAGCAGAAATCTTGTTCTGAGTCATGTTGCTCAGACCAAGGCACCTGCCTGAGAAAAAGACACATCAGGGCTACAAAATCCCACTTTTCTGGTTACCTGTTCAACTCCTGGCAGCCTTTCCTGAGGAGGAACAGCACCTGGCTCACAGGCACGTGACTTCTCACCTTCCTGCTGCTGGGTGGTCTGGACAGGAGGCTCAGGGGAGACCTTATCCCTCTAAAATTTCCTGAGAGGTTGTAACCAGGTGGGTATCAGCCTCTTCTCCCAGATAACAATAGACAGGACAAGAGGAAACGGCCTCAAGTTGTGCCAGGGGAGGTTTAGATTGGGTATTAGGGAAAAATTCTTCACTGATGGGTCAAGCCCTGGAACAGGCAGTGGCTGAGGCACCATCCCTGGAGTTATTTAAAAGCTGTGTAGATGTGGCACTTGGGGACATGGTTTAGCAGTGTTAGGCTCAGTTCTCTTAAAGGTCTTTTCCGACCTAAACAATCCTGGGATTCCAGTACCTGGCTCACTCTGCAGTGACACTCACACAGAGCCAAACCCCGGCCTGTGGAGCCTGAACAGCCCCTCTGTACACTCAGCTCACCACCGACAGGACAGGAGGATTTCTGTCACACAGGAATGCCCTGCGAATAAATAAACTGAAGTTTGTGGGGTGCTCGGGTGTTACAGAAGTGGGAGGCTTTATAAAAATACACAGTAGTCAGGCTTTTTCTAAACTCTCCACCCTCTCCTGCCTTGGGACTGCATTCCACACCTTACACGCCAAGGATCTTTCTTCACCCAGATGAAAACACTCCACTGTTTGGCAAATCGTCTGTAGGCCCAGAGCACGTTTTCCAGGAGCAAAATCTCACGGACAGAAAATATTTGCAAGGGCAAACAGGAGGCAAAAGGAGTGTCAGCACAGTAAATTATGTTTTTAAAGCCACTGACAGTGGATACACGGCCCTGCTCCCACCCATCGCTCGCCCTGGTGCTGCTGGGCGTGGGTAGATTTATTAGATTAGGAGAGATTAGATAGGTTAGATTAGGTAGATTAGATAAATTGGTAAGAGAAGGGTGCTAATAATGCCAAGGTGGTGGGTTCAATCCCTGTGTGGGCCAGTCACTTAAGAGTTGGACCCCCCTTGTGGGTCCTTTCCAACTTAGAATAGTCTGTGACTCCATGACAGGATCGTCCCCCAGCAGAACCAGCTCCGAGAAACAAAACGAGGGAAAAGACAGACTTTTCCCAGGAAGAAAAGGTCAAACCCCCACAGAATAATTATTTGAAGAACACAAGGAAGCATTTCTAAAGAGAAATCACCAGGACTGTCACACAGGTCTCGCCACCAGTCAGCTCAACCCCGCTGAAACCCGAAGGACCACGAATGGCAGCCGCAGCTGGGGGAGGCTCTGCCTCCTCCACCAGGGCCACACCACGGGGCCACTCTGTGAAAAGCCCATTTCCCCTTATGAATAGGCATGATGTGCTTATTAAGACAAGCAGCACTTTCCCCCGTGCCTCCCTCCCTCGCTCCCTTTGTGGTGCCTGCAGCCGAGCGCGGGGCTGGTAAGTTATTCATGCTGGAGCTGTTCTTTTGTGAGGGGGAGATGTTACAACTTGTGTGATTTGCCATTATGCTGTCTTTTTGTGACAATCACGAGATGGGAAAGAAATGTCTGGAATATTTCTGGCAAAAAAATACACCCAAAGTCCAAGAAAGGATTGAGCGGAGGATGCTGGCATGCTTCACAGCTGAGAGAAGAAAGACAAATCACACACTTCAGTGCCCCCAAAGCAAAACCATCTTTATAAGCACGCAGGGATTTTATAAATCCCCAAGTCCCTTCTTCTGAAAATTTATTGCGAAACAGCCATCAAAGTTTCTGAGTAGGGAAAAAAAAACCCCCAATCTTCTCTAATACCCACTAACAAGTCTGTGACCTGGATATCACACGAAGACAACTTGGTCTAGAATTTCCATTTCTGATGGAACCTGAGAGCAAAGTTAAATTCTTCATGTCAAGCACTGAATTTCTGCATTCCGGCTTAGTGCTTACTCAGGAAAAGTAAAATATTTTCATAATTTATGTTTCAATAGTATTTTACATTTAACAAAGAAAATACTGTCATGTATGTTCTATAAGAGAAAAATCCACTGTTTTCAAAAAAAGAAAAACAAACCACCAAGAAAATTTATTTGGCAATTTAAGACATACATCATTAATGCCTCTCACCTCTGAAGTGAAGCACTCCTGTAGAAATGTACTTTGATTTAGGTCTTACATTCTTAAAGCAAACAGCTTGAGTGTCTCCACACACTACTGAAATTCAATAGTATTATTATTCTTATAAGAATAATGCTTGTCTACATATAAGACTCTGGAGGGAAATACATCAGAAGTGAATTTGTTTACAGCACAATTAACCTTATGTTAAAAACATATGAACAAGTTTTTTCAGGTAAAATAATCTACCACACAAAAAGGGCTGAATTATCCGAGTTTGTGGGAGCAATCGGATGTTGCTTTATGTACTGAATTTCTATCTTTCTGTTCTAAAGTAACCATTGGAATAATTTTCTTACAGAATGATAGTTGCTATGACAACCATAGCAAATTTTCCTTTTCTGAAACAGATGTCTCATTTAGTTGAAAATTAGAATGTGAAAAACCCATGGGAAAAATTAATTCAAACTTTAACAGAACACTGACTACAATGTAATCTCTTATAGGTTAACCCCTTAACATCTCTCTGCACTCTTCAAGTAACCTTCTCATAAATTCTAATTAAACCAGCTTAACCTCCTAGAAATGACCTTCTTAGCTATCATTAGCACTTTAGTTGTCTTTGAAAGGATCACTTCTGTTACAATAGTAACAGAAAAAAAGTCACAGTAAAAAAATAATGGTCAAACATATTACCACTTTAATTACTTATTAGGTTCTTTTTTTTCTTTTATTCAGCTACTACTGGAAAGAGCCAACACGCAGTCCAAGAATTCTTTTGTCATTTAAATGGGACATAACTTGGTTTCACATGTGATCTGCCATAAAGGGTGATGCACCACACAGATCTCACCTGTCATTTACCTGAAAACTGAAGGTTTTCCATTCTCAAAGCACCTCAATCTGCTCAGCAAAGACACACACAAAAAAAAAGGATACTTGATGGGGGGAACTATCAACGTACATGGATTTTTCTATTACAAGCAATGAGAGACTGAAATTTGATTCTCCATTACCTTGATTAGTAGCAAAAAATGCAGGAATAAGCCACAATGTGCAGATCATTGTACATCCTAATTTCTACAGTTTCCTACATTCTTCTTACTGTTATAACTAGCTACACTCCTGTGAGCATGGGTATACAGCACTATATGCAATATATACCTTCCTTATCTGCCTGCTGTTCACATTCTTCAGGTGTTCATATTTGACATTCCCTATCACGTGAATTTAGCTGAATTTACTCATTTTTGCCTTTTTAGCCTTTCCTCAGTAAGTAACTAACTAGTTTACTGAGTTGCTTTTCTCCTCTACTTTCTCTCCAAGTAAGGATTCACAAAACCTTTTTTTTTTTCCTTTTTTTTCAGTGGGTTATTGGCCATTTCAACATCTAAAGTAGTTGTGAAAAAACACTCATCTTTCTGTCTTCCCGGCACAAGAGGACCATCCAAAGCAGGCAGGGACAAAAGCAGCTCTCAGGTCACAGGTGCTAAGAATAATTAGGAGGGCATTGTTTGCTTATGGGCTTTGAAATATTATTCAGCATCTTGGCATCTGAGCCAACGGCACAACTGAGGCCTAAAGGAAAACAGGTTTCAGAGGTTTTGAGGAGCATGAGGAGATTTATATTAAGATTAACTTCCATGTGA